CGATCCCGCGCCGCCAGATCGTAAGGCGGCCGCTCTATCCATTAGTCCACCACTCACTAAAAGGATTGTGCAACCAGGCGCCACCTGGCACCATGGGTTTTACCTAACTACTCATACCTGAGTAAGTATAGCGAGATTTTACACACAATCCCCGTGAGCATTCGGGACTTATGGAAAGCAGATCAAACCCCAAATCAGATAACCTGAGGTATATGAATGAAAGATGGAAACAATGCACTACCGCATTTTTATCATGAATATATAACCTCTCTGTTCGGGGATCGATCCCGCGCCGCCAGATCGTAAGGCGGCCGCTCTATCCATTAGTCCACCACTCACTAAAAGGATTGTGCAACCAGGCACCGCCCTTATCTGATTTGGGGTTTGATCTGCTTTCCATAAGTCCCGAATGCTCATGGGGATTGTGTGTAAAATCTCGCTATACTTACTCAGGTATGAGTAGTTAGGTAAAACCCATGGTACCAGGTGGTGCCTGGTTGCACAATCCTTTTAGTGAGTGGTGGACTAATGGATAGAGCGGCTGCCTTACGATCTGGCGGCGCAGGATCGATCCCCGAACAGAGAGGTTATATATTCATATATATGTATATATATCGTGTGTGGCGCGGGCACCCTAGAGAGGCCACTCCATTGCCTCTGCGAAAAAGAGCGCGGTGCCAGAGGTCATGACTTTTCAGAGCGCAGATCCATGACCATTTGTAAGTGACAGATGCCACACAGATATGTGGCATCCGTCTCACACACACACACACACACACACACACCACACACACACACACACACACATATATATATATTATATATATATATATATATATATATATATATCTGTGTTTATATATATATGTGGTATATCTTACAGATTCGGACTTTTCCATCAGGTCAGTTGCCATGTGGCAATTTACGTTGTCAGTCAGCCATTGTTAACCATATTCATCAGATATTTCTTATCATCACGATGAATGTAATTAGGATGTATATGATGACATCATTACTCCCGATATGATTTTGATACTGATACTGATATTGTAATAATAAATTTCGTGTAGATAACTATAACTTATTATCAAGCAGTGATGTTATCAGAATTGAGTTATTAATGAAATACCTTTAATAGTATTAACAGTAATGCTTATCTAAATGGCCAATATACATATGTACAAATTCTAAGTAGATTGATTGTTGATAAATTGATCTTAATTTTAGAATTGAGAACCCCCATCCAATATGAAATCGAATACCTTGTGTTTGGTCAAGTGAAAGGTGTCAGGTGCTTCCATTTCACATGTACATTCTTTGGATTGCAAGTGTTTAATTATAGTTTAAGAATCACCTCGATATCAGCTATTCCAGTTTTCCCTTTTATCAATTGCAGTTTATAATCTCACGAAGCTTACCTCGGTAGGAAGACAAAAACAATCATACTCAAATTAGGCTTATTTCAGAAAGAAAAAAAAATCAGAGTGCTCCTAAATATCACACTCAGTGCTCTCTCCTTCCAACATGACCTCAGTAATAAGAGTATATCTTTATCTTCCAGTGCCATCTGCTCGTTTCTGAACAGCGAGCCGCTCGTGTGTTGTCCCTCCCAGAGCTTACCCGTTACTGCTGTAAATACTCCGCCCACGAGACCTCCTCCAGTCGTTCAGGTATTTTTGAAAATGTCGTGTGTGTGTGTGTGTGTGTGTGTGTGTGTGTGTGTGTGTGTGTGTGTGTGTGTGTGTGTGTGTGTGTGTGTGTGTGTGTGGGTGTGGTGGGTGTGGGTGTGGGTGTTTGTGTGTGTTATATTTCATTCATGCCATTAGGTCACTGTAGTTATTGAATATTATCGGCAATTTTCTCCTTCGTGCATTTAACTTTAACCGTCAAATTGCTGCTGCCGTTCCCCTTTTTCATAAGCTTAAGTACGTAGTATGCCCAGCTCGCACGTGCACAAACCTACAAGCACGCGCCCTGGGTTTGCATTTACACACATGCTCCCTTTTGCAATCTGGTGCACTCTCGCCCCCACAGACCCCGCCCCCCAGCCGCGCCAACGTGCAGTGTGGGAGCCGTGGCATCGCCGACAAGATCATAGATGGCGAAGACGCTCCTCTCGGTGCCTGGCCCTGGATGGTGGTTCTGCGTGGCTCAAGTCCGTGGCTCAGGTTCTTCCTGTTGTGATATTATATTCAATGTATTTATATTATGATGTATATAATCATGGTGGTTCTGCGTGGCTCAAGTCCGTGGCTCAGGTTCTTCCTGTTGTGATACTATATTCAATGTGATGTATATAATCATGCGTCAAGTCCGTGGCTCAAGTTCTTCCTGTTGTGATACTATATTCAATGTATTTATAGTATGATGTAATCTATTCTATAATGTATTCACAGTATGATATATAATCTATGTATTCACAGTATGATGTATATATTCTATAGGTTAAGACGGGCATAAGGGTCAAAATAAATGTGTCGCTGTAAATGAGACTATTATAGAAATTCACATTTCTAATAAGCCAATTGGCATTTAACAGCAGCGGTTAAACGTTTACCCGACCATTATTTCCCTTGGCATATGCACCGTCAACCTCAAAAGTAAATCATCAAGAAATAAGTACTCATTGAAAGATATACAAGTACTAGAATTATTAGTAAATTAATAAATTATAATAATAATAATAAATTAATAAATAAATTGGTAAAATGCCCACGCGTGAATTCGTTACTCGACACTGCTCCTCCTCGGACTTCCAGTTAACGGCCGGCGCTCGTGGTTCTGCGGCGGGGTGCTGGTGTCCGAGCGGTACGTCCTCACCGCCGCCCACTGCTTCAAGGAGAGACTCGGCCTCGTACTGTGAGTCACTGGAGTCAGTTGTGGTGAAATTAGTTGATATCAGCGACCGAGACAGTAATGGTATCGGTCGGATCGATAAAGATTAAACGTTGTTCAGTCTAGGTTATAGGTTTAGGTTTGAAGAATTTTTTTTCCATGTATAGCGAGGCAGTTGCGAGATAGGCCTACTTTATTTTCATGGAATCTCAGGGACTTTATTTTCATGGATACTTTATTTTCATGGAATCTCACAGGTCATGGAATCTCACTTTTTTTTCTCATGGAATCTCCTTTATTTTCATTTCACCATGGGTGGAATCTTTTTGTTTAACTTTCCAACCCTAGGGAAATTGCAAGGATCGGCGAGCACACCCTCTCCATCAACCCCGACTGCTCCAAAGGGCGCTGCGCTCCTCCCCCGCAGGACATTCCCGTGGAGAGGATCATCAGGCACCCCCAGTACGGCTCCCCCTGCACGGAATGCAACGACATTGCCCTCCTGCGCCTCAGTCGCCCCGCTGTCCTGCACCCGCGTGAGTTCTCTTCGGTTATTTCTCCTCCTCCTTCATTTTGACTCTTTGATGAGCGAAAGGCTAGATCAGTAGCAACTGGAGGAGGTGTCATGGCGTCTGATTCTATTTTTGGAGAAAAAAAAAAATACATGGGGGTTTGTTTTGATGACGTCATAAGTTACGGATTCTTTGTGAATATGGTTGATCATTTTGGTCTCTTCGATTTTCAAAAAGGATGGAAAAATAATGATTTTCATGGTTATATTTTCATTGGACAATCATCAAAACAGACGCCTCGAGTTGGGACTGATCTAGCTTTTCCCTTTTTGCTAATTTGTCTTCATTTCAGCTTCATCTGCTTTTTCTCTTTTCTCTTTTCTGTCGTTTTTTCGTTCCTTTCTCTTGTTTTTTTTTTCCTCAATAGCAAGGGTATGTGAACTGTCCAGGCGGAACGAAATGCAATAAGCTTTTTGTTTGTATATCCAGTGCGTGTTTTTGTTCCAGCTTAAGGAGTCTGAATATAAGCATTGATGTAAAAAGTTCAGTATTATTCAAATATTCTAATGAGTATTTTTCACAATTTATGCCAATTAAACGACTTTCAGTGGCGTTAAAACTATGTTTAAGTATTTACATATTGGTTTAACTGATTTTTTATTTACCATTTATAACCGAGGGCTTTTATTTTTCGGATATATATATATATATATATATATATATATATATATATATAATATGAATAGAAAACACTCTACTGTGTTGATATTATGGTAGAAAAACCCACAATCTTCGGAAGATGGAAACAAGGACGATTATAATGTTTCACTTTCTTCAATAAATTTAGATTGTGCATTGTGGGTTTTTCTACCCATACCACATACATACCTACATATGTTCCATACATTTTTTTCTTCATTTCCATAAGCATTATAGTAAACATTTACCCGCAGGACATGGGTAAAAGGAATTCCGGGCATATGTTCCCATACATTTTTTTCTTCATTTCCATAGATCAGCGTCTTTTCTCTCTCCCGCAGGCTTCGTGGCGCCCGTGTGTCTGCCGACCAACCCCGTCCAGGACATGGGCTTCTCTGAGCAAGAATTCCAGGGCAAAGCCGCCTGGGCCGCTGGCTGGGGCTCCACTGCAAGGGGTGAGGACAGGAAATTTGTCTGTAACTAGAAGCACGTAGAGAGCGCATACCTCCGCCAAGGCAATAGGATCAGTGACAAAAATCAGCCCATTATCAAGTACATTGTTGCAATGCTAATGAACCCATTATCAATCTATAATCCGGATCACCACCACAATTTAATGGGATTTAAGTTGAGCTAAGACACACCGCTGGTAAAAAATAAAAAAAATCATAACAATGATAGTCAAAGCAGATTTAACTCCTCGTCTCTCTAAATCGTGAATATATCTTCTATTCAATGAAATAGAGAATACTTCAAGTGAAAAAGTCTGAAAAATTCTAGCAACATTGTTCTGTTGGTATTGTATTCGGTGACTATTATTTTCAACTTCACAAAATCTTATATATGGAAGTGGGTTGGTCTATATTTTAATTCATTGATGTTCATTTGTTTTGATAGATGATTGCCAGTCGGAAGTGTGTGTCACTGTTTTAGAGGCGCTGTTTATGAATACAG